AGTTGGAAGGGATCCACAAGGATGCACCCCAGGACATGGATGTCCCTCCTGTCTGCCAGGGCACTGCTGACTCATATTCAGCTTTTGCCATTGACCAGGACTCCCAGGTCCTTTTTCACAGTTGCTGCTCTCCACTGCCTCATTCCCCAGCCTGTCTGCACTGGCATTGCATTTAATCATCTTTGCAAATTGCAGTAGGCAATAGTAGGAGATACTAAACCCATAATTCTCTGTTAGACTCTAGAAAGTGGGCCTTAGCCCAGTGGATAGCAAAATGTGGGGCAGGAGGCAGCCTCCCAACACAATGTGGCCTTTTTGAACTTACAGAATAGTATCCCCCTGCAATGCAAACTCCAAATGCTTTTAGACAAACATGTACACAGTACTGCACCCTTTTAAGCAGTTATCAAGGTGTGTCTGCACTGAAATTCCCAGAGAATGCTCTGCAGTTACTGTCCAGTTCCAAGATGTGTTATTACCCACATGTGTTAAGCTCCTGGTGGGCCAGACCACAGGATTGCAAAGAGCAATGACCAGCCTATGCTTTGGACAGCCTTGCTTTTAACAGCTTGCCCCAAACACCAAGGGTAAAAGCAGCTTTGGTTGATTGGTGGGTGGGGTTATTTTTATTATTATTATTATTATTTTTATGTAATCAAGACATCACAAAATTGTCTACTGAGGTACCCATGTGTTGTAGAGTTGGACCTGTGTCTTTGAGGGGTGATGCTCCTTCAGCAGGAAACTCCTCCTCCTGGTGTCACTGGTGTTTGCTGCCAGTTGGCATCGAGACTCTCCTGAACCCTCCTGAACCAAAGCAAGTGTTCTTCCATGTCTAAAAACCCCTATAGACAGTGACCTGTGTGTCAGCATCCCTGTAGACAGCTCCCGTGGGACATTTAGGAGAAGTTGGAGAAATCTCTTGTGTCCTTAGTGGAATAAATTCTGATTTGCACAGAGGTTTCTGCCTGGCTTCTACCACAGTCCCCATCAGCAGGATGGGACATGCTCTGCTGTAATCAGGGTGTAATGGCTCAGTTTGTGGGCTGGGCTCTGGTGCTTGAGTGACTGGAGCCGTTATTCCCCTGCAGGCACAGGGGAAAACACCATTCCCTAAAACTTGGCTGAAGGAAGTTTTATTTGGTATGCATTAGCCCACCCTTGCAAAGCTGAAGGCTGTATACACAGTCAGTTAGCAGAGATCACCTGAGGTTTAGTCAACAGATATGTAAGGATTAATGGAGTTGTCTAAACTCTGTGAGAGCAGCATTTATAGGGGAACTTCATTAGATCCACAGCTGCAAATTATAAACCCTTCTACCCTGTTTGAGGTTTGTTATCTTTAGAGATCACCATGAAAGGTGGAACAGCTGTGAGAGCTATTATTCAAGCTGATGTATAATGATTGCAAAAAAGGTAGGGTGTTTAGACAGATGATATGAAGAACAGATTTGCAAGAAGATCTTTAAATTCATATTCCTCTGAGCTGGTGTGCATTGAAAGGAAAGGCACAAGTGAGATACTCCAGCACTGTGAGGTGTTCACAAGAATATCTTCTGAACTTGTCACTGCCCATCAGAGGAGGGGCTGGGGTGAGCAGGAGAGTGGAGGAGAACAATTTTCCCCTACAGAGGGGAGTCATGTACAAAGGTGTACTCAGTACCTCAGTTTTGTATGCCAGTGGTTTCCAAGACTTTAATATCCTTATTTTATTGATGAGAACAGTTGCAGCTTCAGTTGCTTGCATGGTGCTTGGTGCCAGCTTGGTCCTTGATTTGGAGGAAGGTAATGCTGGAGGACTCTGCCATCAGGTGTTAGAGGGGACAGCAGGAGGGCTGTCAGTGCCCTCAGTCTGGCAGAGTACAGCTTGCCATGTCAGCAGGTATTCTGAGTTTGGTGACCTGCCAGTCTTTGAGGTGGATGACAAATCTTGACTGGCCTCTAGCTGGAGAGGGGTAAGAAGCAGCCAAATGCTAATAGAGCTTCTCCTGCCACTGCCCTCCTCCTGGGCAGGGACTGTTCTTGCTGACACAGAGCTGCTCTTCCCCTGAAAGGTTTGCTGGTCTTGTCTTGGCTGTTTGTCCAGGACAAACAGCTCCAGGGCTCAGAGACCAGGACAAGGGTTTAACGATGCCTAGGGACTGCACAGATCTGCAGAACATCAGCAGAGGCACAGCCTAGAGAGGTGTGTTTTCCCTCCCCTGGCTCTGGCAAAGACTGCAGGAGTTATTTGGGGATTAAAAAACTCCTCTTGCTTTCAGACCCATGCAGGAAAACAGTCTCTTTATCAACCACTTGACACATGGGCTTTGGCAAGGCAGAGGAGGCAATGTGGGGTCTCCATAATTATTATCAACGATTTTCTAAGGGAGGAGGGGGTAGAACCTGAGTCCTTGAAACTTAGATCCCCTTCAGGTGCTGAGAGGAGGGGAATAAGAGAGGTATTATTAGAAAGCATTTCTTTTATTTAGCAGATGTTAAATAGCACTATACCACTATATCAATCTGTCAAGTACACTAATAGGAAACAGCATCTAGGAAAGTTGAGATGTGAATTTCACAGGGGAACAATTGCCCCCCTTCTGCAGGATCCTGGGGTCTGGGGGCCAGCACAGAGCACAAGGAGCAGGCACACATATGCCAGGCACATGTGGATGGAGAGGGGAAGGAAAACTTGTGGACTATGACAGAAAAAAACTTGGTGCAGCTGGAAAGGTTTTCACCCACCCTGTCCTCGTTGTTGTACTTGAAACTGGATTAAAAATATCCTTAAAGCAGTGACCACACATGTCTTTGGGTTTTGACAAGTTGTGTGTGCCATGCTGTGGGTTTCTGTAGTGTTAACCGGCATTTTCACAACATAGGTGGTTTAAAGTGTGAGGGAGAAAAACAGACCTCTAATGGATGATTAAAGGTTGAACAGCAAGCCTGGCTTTACATTAATGTGTGTTAGCTCCCAATCAGACCCAAAGCCATGGTGTTTTCCTCTTGTACTCTGTACTGCTTCCCTTGACCTGTCCTGGTGATGCCCAGCAGTGGCTGTGACCACAGGCAGCCGAGGTTGGTTCGGTTTTATTAAAAGAGCTGCCTGAAGCCCAAGGTTAAGTGACGGGAATTTCAAAACAAAACAATAAATTAATAAAATGAATGTGTCATCAGCTGATCCTCTTCTGACCACCATCTGTCCCCTGATCATGTGACGTCTCCCAGCTGGCTACCCAAGAGACAAACCATGCAAGATCATCATCACAACATATGCTGCTATTTACACATTTTTAAAGGTAATAGTTGCTAGGCTGTCATATTAGTAGTTAAAAGCAGTTATTTGGAAGCTAGGGAATTTTTTCTTTATTTCTCTCCTTTTTATTTTTCCCCTTAGGAAGGCAGTGACTCAGCAGGTATATTTCTGACAGAGACATGTTCAGGGTTGGATCAGTGGAAGTTCCTGTGTAAAGTACATGTAATTCTACCCCCTCATACCCCCACCTTGTTCTGTGGTATGCTGTTGTGCCTTTTGTGATATGCAGTAGAATAAATAAAATAGAAAGAAGGCAATGGTCCCACAAATGTCACTAGTGTACCTTTTAGGAACATTATGTACTCTCTTTGCCATCTCCAGGATGCAAACCAAGCTCTGCATTTTTTAACTATTGTTAAGATCAAGGATGTGGTTATGAGAAGACTTACAGTTTATAGGATACTTAAGCATTGAGGATTGAGGCACGGAACATTTCCTGGGGATTAACGACTGACTGGGTGAGCCTCGGGCCATTAACCCCTGCCTGCCATTAATCTTCAGGAAATGCCCTGCAGTGAGGTCGTTATTGCTGTTATATGCTGAAACACAAAAATAATAATAAGAAAGGTCCGTGGATTATTTATTTATATTTTACATAACACAATTCTATTGGGACTGTAGGAAATGAACATCTTTCTATTTAGCTGGTGGTAAGCTGGAATTAATGCAGTTCCAGCATCTCACTCTTTTGTGGAAGATTATTGTCAGACTGCAGGAGTGTAAGTGGGGCAGGATTTGGCCCACTGCTTGTATTGCAGTGTTTAATACAATGAATATGCCCTGCTTCTCTGATATTACTGCTGGCACAATTTAGCCCTATATAAAAACCAGCTCAAAATGCTTGTTTTACAGCAAAGCAATTTATTCACAGTTCCAAGCATCTCGCAGCCTTTTTTTAACTCGTTGAATAATCCTTTTAGGTTGCCCATAAAGCAGGTGAAATGCTTCTGCTGCAGTCCTAAGGCAGAACACAGGCTGCATAAATAGCATATAAATTACTAGGAATACAAAATACACATACAGTAATACATACCTACAAAGGCAAATTCATACTGACAGGACTGCAGTGTGTGCTTATCAGCAGCAAAACATCTCGGGGAAAAAAAAAAAAGTGGCTTTATATTGAAATTTTGTATATATTTCTCTCTATTTAACCACTTAAATACTATTTTTTGCATGTTCTAAAGCCCAGATGCAGGCTCCTTTTTAATGAGCCTGCCTGCTTAAACATTTATTAGCTTAGAGATGTATAGTTTTCATAAAGCTGGCTGATTCTTTTTGCAGAATATCTTTGCAAAAAAAAAGCTTTTTTTTTTTTTGTGTACATGGCCTCAGTCCTTGCAACCTCCTAGAGAGTCTGTCAAGGCACAACTTAAAAGCTCGTTCAGGCGACCATGACCCCCTGCTAGCAGATTGTCTGCCTAAAAGGTAAGGGAAAGCTAAAAAAGAAGTAGAAACTTAAAAGTAGCTTCTCAAAGGCTGCATAGATCTTTTTTTTTTTTGTTAAACCTAAAGTGTTTAAAAGCTTTAATATTGATGGCCTGTCAACTTTGTCCTGATTCTTTGGCTTTCAGTTAAAAGGTTTTTGTTGTTGTAGCTTATGCAGTTGCTCTGTTGCTATGGAAACGTGACATCAAAATGACGTTTCTCTGTTTAAAAGCTTTTAACTAAATTCCTGCCTGTCAGATGTAGGCCCCATTTTGTGCACTCAAGCTTCAAGCTGTTGCAAAAAGGTTTCATATGTTCTGTTGTCATTCAAATTCTTTATCCACATATGCATGTCTTGCACTACAAAAAACCTAAACTAAAAACTCAATCTATATTAAGTGTCCTCTTTTAAAACCCTTTTAGGTCAGTCAGCAATGGCTGCAGCAGAAATTCCCAGTTACATTGTCTCCTCTCAGACTGAGAAACACAGGAGGGCCAGGAACTGGACTGATGCAGAAATGAGAGGTTTAATGCTGGTTTGGGAAGAATTTTTTGATGAGCTGAAACAAACTAAAAGGAATGCCAAAGTTTATGAGAAAATGGCTAACAAACTCTTTGAAATGACTGGAGAAATTCGCCACGGAGAGGAAATAAAGATAAAAATTACAAATATGACATTCCAGTACAGGTAAGCTTCAGTTCATTCTTTTTATTTTAAGAGATTTTAGCAGGGACGGCGCAGTGATTTTTGCCTTTCAGCAAGAAGTCTCCTGGAGGAAATCTGTCGATAAAAGATTAAAGATTGTTCATATCGCTTTTAAAATTCTCTCTTGCCAATGCTGTTACGTCATTGTTAATTTGTCCCCCCCATTTCATGTCAAACTCTGGACAACTTTGTTGCTTTAAAATTAGCTGGCACTGTTATGATGCAGAGGGATGGAAATGTGTTTAATGGGGAAAAAAGATTTTTTTTTTTTTGGTCTTTGCTGAGGGGACTGATTGTGTTAGCTTGGCAGCCAATTCCTTGCAGTGAAACTCCTGCAGTTTCAAGTGGCCACTGAGGATCGGAATTGCAAGGCAAAGTTAAAAAAAAAAAGAAGAAAACTAGAACAGAATAATGTTTGGGGGGGCTGATGCTCCTTGATTTTGGTCTCGTGAGTTGAAGGGTTACACTTCACGGGGCCAAGAATAATTGAATGTCTTATTACTGAGTGACACACATTGCTATAATTATAAGCAGCAGCAGTGAAAGAACTATTATATCTGCAGAGAGAATCAATGTGCACCGTCAATACTGCTCCAAAGGAGTCGGGGGGAGGGCGGAGGTGTCTATGAGGGGATGATAAAGAACAGGCAAGCAGTCAGGAGGGGAAGTTGGCTTCAGAAAATGTGAGGCATTCGTGGATTTGTTGTTTGCAGGGAGAAAAATAATTAGAACTTAACAGAAATATTTCCATTTTTTTTCCTCCTTTTTTTTTTTTTTTTTTTTTAATTCTTATCTCTGCGAAGCACAAACTGCCTCATACTGGAAATCCTGAGTGGTGATTTGAGCTAGGTGCTTGTAATGCAAGAAAATCAAATATGTGACTCTTTTATTTAATCTCTCCTCAAAGCTCATATTAATAATAAAAAAGGTTATTACAGCAGGCAACCATGTTAAAACTGCTCGCTTTTCTGTAAGGCACCCTTACTGTATTTAATGCAGAGACTGCTCATCAAATAGAAAACTAGGGAAAATCCTGTAAACCCCTTAACTTTGAATGTCCTTCTACATTTCTATGATCCACAAGCATAATGTTTAACATCATTTGCCATAATATTAAACCTGATGTTTTGTGGCAAATCCTAACATCTCCAAAATGTTTTACCAACCCTGCTGTAATCTCTCCAGTTTCCTTCACCCAGACTGTAGATGAGAAAGCTGGAAGTAAGATAAATTTTTGTCCAGCATCACCCAGCAATTCCCACTCAGATGCAGATTTGGGAGTTGCAGGCTAGCAGGCTTTTGCTTAGTCTGCTAAATCTGCAGTCCTCCCTGCTGGGAATTGCATCTCGGCACTGAGATTTCACAGGTGTCTGTAGCAGCAACACTGCGCGATAGTTAAGTGCTGTAATTGCCAAGTGGAATAGGTTATTTCTGTCAGCCTTTGTTCTAAATTTACAGTGTTGTCATCCATCAGAGAGTCTCATTTTTTTCCTAATTAATGTTTTTACTTTAAAGTTGCGCTGGGGGAAGGGAAGAAATAAAATCACTCGCATGCATGCACGGTGTGTGTGAGAGAAACCACACTTCTAAGAAATATCCTTCTATTTCTGTGAACTTCTAAGATTGCTTCTGTTGCATGTTGTCAATCTGCTTTTCTATATTGCAGTGCATGGCAGCTCCCTGCTTATTGATTGAGATGCTAATTTAGGAGAGTTAAAAACTGCCTTGTGCTGTCACAGAGCTGTTTCATTTTGTGCTCTGGAATATAAAATGCATCTTCTTGTTTTTTGTTCACATGCCTGTGTGCTTTGCTGTCAAGGTGAGGTGGTATGGAGAACAGGGGCAAGCAGAAGCTGTTACTCACAATTTCTAGTTTTCTGGGTACTTTTTGGTGGTGTGTGAGGATGGGGAAGGTTGTGGTGAAACTGTAAATTATGTGAGTGGCCACCGACTGCTGCTGGCTTTGCTGTGAGGCAGCCGAGTGTTAGGACACTTGAGGAAGATGCTTTATAGGACACCCGAGGAAGGTGCTTTACATCACTGCATTTCTGAGCATCATTGCTGCCCTGTGGCACAAACTGGAGAGGAAGGTCCTGAGAGTGGGATAATGCTGTATTTTGAGATAATACTTTGTAAAGATTACATTGGGTTAGTGCGTGTGACATGGGAGAACTCAGTAGCACCAGTAGCAGGAGTGAGGAGGGGTGCTGTGCACCTAGGAGCTTATTTCTGCACCCACTTCAGGATCCTGTACTTTAGGCAACTCTGAACAGTGCTGCAGGGGTGGAGTGGCCTCTGCTCTTCCTTTAACAGAAATAAACTGCATTGATTATTTAATCAGATCATATTATTTACCTAAGTGTCACAATTTCATAAAGGAAGATAAAACCTCTGTCAAACAAATTACTACACATACATATATGGATGAATACATATGTGTACTTTTTCCATAAAAGGAAAAAGCAGTACTTGAATATTTCTACTAGTCTTTTTAACCAAGTTCAGTTTTTAAAAGTGCTGTCACTGTGTGGCTTATCCTGGGACATCTGTTGAAATAGATATTGATGATCTGAATCACGCAGGGTGCTGAAACAGAAAGCAGTGAACATGTTTATAATGGTGCTCTCCAGTTTGAGGATCCCATGGCATTCTAAGAGGCAGTTCAGTAAATGTTTTCTTTATTCTGCTTAGTGCAAGCCATTCGTTGAGTAGAAGGTGTCCAAGTCAGGCAAACATATGCACAAGTAGGGCAGGAGTGTTTCTTGGCCAATAATTATTGCAGTTTCTGCAGCAAGTGCAGCCTGCATGGGTGTGTACAGTGGCAGGGGGCTCAGAAGGGGCTCCCACCCCAGGGATTCACCCTGGATCTGGCTGTGTTTGGATCCCATGTGGGATTTGTGCTGCCAGGTAATGTTACCTCAGGTGTAGCTCAGTGTGCATGAGCATCTCTCACATAAGCAATTTTAGGGTGTTCATATCCCATTCCTCCACATCTGAGGTGAAAACATTATTCAGGTGTTAAAATGCCAAACAGAAATTTATTTTATCTCATTATTTCCTCCTTGAATTCTTGTGTTTATTTCTGCCTGCCCTATATTTCAGCAAGGTGACAAGAGAATGAGAAGATGTTTAGAGAACAGTTAGTCTGAGCTGTGAAAAGCTTTCTTTATTAAGAGAAGTGTAAAAAAAAAAGTTTGTGAATGCTAAAGGAATTTCAGAGATGCATACAAATATGCACTATTTTTCAGAATGTAAAGCAGATTTTTTTTGCCATAATACAAGATTTATATACATTTATAAGAACTACAAGGCAAGAAATGCAAAACTAGTTGAAGTCATATAAATCTGTATTGCACTGCAAAATTAGCACGTGGAAATATTGCCACTGAAAATCATTGACACCAAGAGAACAGCAGGTTGTTTTAATATTATTATTATTTTTACTAAAGATTAGATTTATTAAATAAAAAAACAGATGTTGTTTGTCTTCCAGTTAGGTAGAGTTATGAAAGGCAGCGAGTTTCAGGATATTACTGGCTGTTGATGGAAAAATAATCATGTGTTTTTATGGGTGAATGTGCCCTCAAAAGCTGTCTGTCAAAATCATTCTTGAAGTATGCAGCACTGACCTTTGTCAGAAGAGAGTGAGACAATGGACTGAGCTGGCAGTGATTCCTGTATTCCTCTGCATTACTGTAGTCCAAGTGCATTTGGAGGAAACTAATCAGGGAAAAATATACCGTGACCTGAAGTAATTCTTACTGGAGTCTCAGTGTATTAAGGGGCCATTTCATCCACTGTGGAAATTGACTGGGTGGAAAATTCTGCACAACACCATAGGTGGAAGGAAAATTCTTTCTGCAGGTGTATTTGAGTAAAGTTCTGCTCTTAGGGATTGCTGTAAAATCTGAAATATCTGCTGTGGATAGACAGCCACCAGGTTTTTAATGTTCTGCTTCAAAGACACCTGTGTGGTGAGCTGCATGAACCTCCCCATTTATCCATCCTAGAAGGAAAGGCTGAGTCAAGCTTCCTGAAATTCAAAGTTAATCTTTCACATGTGCTGGTCATCAAAAGTTTTCCTGAGATTAGTGTGCCAGCTCTTGAGGTTTAGCATCCCTTCGAGTCTGTGCCCAGTTCTTTGTGTTGTGCAGCCTCCTTGGGGCTATCAGCTCATGTGAACCTGTAATTATTCCTTCTAAAAGAAAGCACTGTCCTGTCACTGCTAATGTGCTGATCTCACTGTGCCACAGTGCTCTGTGACTGCTGTTATCATATTGCCACTGACACAATACTTATAAAAAAAGGAAGCACAGCTTGCACAGTGGTCCACAGTTTTGACTGATTCCTTCTGATGTTTAAAAATAAGAACTGTGTGAATGCAAATTTATTATTTTCAAAAACATCACCCTCCCCAAAGCCTAGAAAACAGGATGCAGCTGTTGCTCTTTGATTTGAATCGCAGTCAATTAATGTTAATGATTGGTAAATTTGAATCAGTCTCATGATTTGAATGAAAGAGTAGTCTAATTTTTTATTTTCATGTGTACATGATAGCAATTAAACATTTTTGCTTGTGTAATCCATTGCTATACTCTATGACATTATGCAACTGGAAAATTTGACCTCTGTTACAGCAAATGATAAAATATGAGTGCAGCCAAATTACTGCAAAAAGTTGAATACTTTACTATCTTTGTCTTTAATTTCAATAATTTATGGCAGATGCACAACTTAGCATTGTACTTTCATCGTCCTTCCTTTCCTCACCATTGATTGGTTCACAAACAGTTGCTATTTATTATTTATTTTGAAAGCTTTTCCTAGAAACCCCAGGAGATGGATCTTGTATCCATTCCTTAAGGCAAGTAGTAATATCAAATGCTGCAATAATAATAAAAAAGCAATCCTGCTTTGAGCAAAGTCTAAAAAAATAAAGCAAGTTATAGATTGCTTGCTTTTTGCTGACTAAATAATGATGATTTTCAAAAAACCAAAACCTTTTTAGAATATAATATTGTGATAGTTTTTCTTTAGAAGGTGGATTAATAGGCACGGAGAACAAAGTCTGAAAAAAGGTCAATGGCAGCACAAATGACTCAACAGTTGTCTCAGTCTATTCAGTGGAGCATTTTGGCAGTGGGATCTCAAAGTCCATTAATTTATTCACTTCTCTGGAATAAGACAAGCAATCACCTTTCAAATTAACTCAGTTGGCATGCTTTGGGTATTTGTCCACTGGAAATCTGACTTTGATCCCTGAGTTTTTGGAGAGAGTTCTCAGTTGCCTCTGCTCTCAGCTGGATTTTAATAGAGCCTCATGAAACAGCAACAGGTCCAGATAAACTCAGTGTGAATTTATTTTGCAAGCTCTGCTGACTTTCTCACTTACCTCTGTTTCTTACCTCATTTTTCCTGCATGGCTGCTCCCTCAGGCAGTGATGTGCCCAACTGCAAAGTGTTAATGTTTGGCTCATCTTGCTCTCTCATTTCTGGACTATTGCATTCCAGCCTTCCTATTGTCCTGTTTCTTTTAACATCCCCATGTTTCATTAAAACAAACAAAACCCCAATTCTATCTCTTGGAAGCAGCTAAGGTTGCTGTGATGAGTTATGCTAATGACTGAGGGCAGTAAATTAATCTCTGCTTTAGACTCCGGTTTTTCCAGGGTTACATTTACCTCAATGCAGGCAAAAGCTCTCAGCTGTCTAACTAGGTTTTCTGGACTTCTGGCAGTTGTAGAAAAAATATTTAAAATTCAGTAAATCCTGGAACTCGATATTAGTAGTATGAAGGTAGCTATTTGGTTTGTTTTCACCAGAACGCTAAACCATCAACACTATTGCAGTCAATGGTCTCCCTATTTACCTCCACCTGCAGCATTTCTGCTTCTCTTCCAAAGGACTGACAGACACTCCCTTTTCCCTTATCTTCTCATCTCTTTCCTTGTTTCATCCTTTTTTTCTGTGTGTTTGAGCCAGACTCCATACAGGTAGATGATTGCTGCTGGTGCTGCTTTTAAGCTAACAGTTCTCTTGTCTCCCTCCTGGTAGTGATCCCTTTTATTTAGCTCAGAGCTACAGTAAGCAGTCAGAAGTAGAATTAGTATCCATTCAATGCATTTAGAGCCAGAGAAATACCTGCATTTATATAACTGCAACTCTACAGCTCTGTGAGCAGACAATAAACAACAGCCTTCCTTCCAATTTGTCATAGTTCTGTAAGAAAAGGGGGTCTGGGTACACAGCTGAGCTCAAACAGCAACAAAAAGGTACCAACCTACACAGGCAAAATGTCTGCTCCTGGAAACTTTCTACTGAATCATAGTACAGCTCAGGCTGGAAGGGATCTTTAAAGATCATCTCTTTCCAACCCTTCCCATGGGCAGGGACACCTTCCCTAAACCAGGTTGCTCAAAGCCCCATCCAGACTGGCCTTGAACACTGCCAGGATGCAGCATCCACAGCTTCCTGGGCAATCTGTTTCTGTGATTCACCACTCTGATTAAAATTTCTTCTTATATCTAGTCTGAATCTACAATAAGGTCTTTCCAGAGCTTTCTCTTCCCCAGGCTGAGCAATCCTGACTCTCTCAGCCTGTCTCCATGGCAGAGCTGCTCTGAGTATTTTTGTAGCCTTCCAGGTGGGGTCTCAGGAGAGCAGAGGGGCAGAATGCCCTCGCTCAGCCTGCTGGCCATGCTGCTTTTGCATGGTTGGCTTTGTGGGCTACAAGCACATTGCTCATGTCCAGCCTCTCGCTGACCTGCACCCCCAACTCCTTCCCTGTGGGACTGCCCTCAATCTCTTCATCCCCCAAACTGTAGTTATACCTGGGTTGCCCCAAAAATCACCACAGGATGATTTAATGGAAGCAGATGCCAGCAGATACCCCAGGCTGAGGGGAGGTGGTGTCTGTATTTCAGCCTTCACTGCCCCCCACCTGTCCCTGTGGGGTGTGCCTGCAGCACAGTTGTCAGAAGTACCAGCAGTAGGAAAGGACTCAGTCAGGAATCGTCTCTGAGACTTTGTGAAGATTGAGGGAAGTCTCTAGGGACCAGAAAAAGGCTGTTGAATCTTCAGAAAGGCAGGAACAGGAATTAAGAGTTCTTCCCTCCAACTCCTTAGAAGATCATTGAGGAAGAAGTTTTGGAAGCAATTTCCAGTCATGGAAAGGAGAAGGTGGTGACTGGTGGTGACTGGGAATTACCAGCACTGAATCACACCTGACTGACCTGCTTGCTTTCTTTTTTAAAGGACTAGATCTGTGGATGAGGGTAGAGCAAAGTATTGTCTAGCTCACAGTACAACCCTTTTGACTCAGTATCCAAGAACATCCTTGTATCCAAGCTGGGATGTGACACTGCAGGGGAAGGACTACCAGCTGGCTGGAAGACTCTGGATCTCTGGGCACAGAGTAGTGTTAATGGTTTGTATTCCACCTGGAGACTCATTCCCAGTGGAGGACTGCAGGTGTTTTGTACTGGGACCTGCCCTGTTTAAAATCAGCAATCCAAAGGTGAAGGTGGAGTTCACTGGTTTGCAAATGATGCCAAACTGGGGCTGCAGTCTGCACCTGTGAGGGCAGGACTGGCACTCAGAGGGACCTGGGCAGGTTGAGAAATGGGCTGACAGGGGCCCCATCAAACTCAACAAGGACAAATGCAAATTCTCCTCTGGGATGGCCAAATGCTGAACAGGAGGAGAAGGCCTGGCGGGGCAGCAGCTCTGCTGGTGGGGGGGACCTGGCTGACACTGGGCTCAGTACAGGCCTGTTCCCAGAGTATCAGCTCTAAGCTTGTCCTGCCCTTTTTGACACAATGCTTTGCAGTCCTAAAGGCTCAAACCATGTCCCACAAAGTCTTAGTGCAGCTGCTGGACTTGGCAGTGGCCTGGCTGAGATGTGGTCACCCCTGGCTTTTGCCACCTCTCCCCTGGGATGACTGACCACAGTGAATGCGCTCCATAATTGCAATTCAGTTCTAAACCTCAGAGCTTGAACACATTGAGAGTTTCAACACAGGCAAACAAATATGGCATGTAGGCTTGGCTACTAGCTTGTAGTGGCATAATTGATCTGTTTTTCATGCAAATAGCCTCAACAATTGAACTAAAAATAATATTAATTGATGGTTGTTGTCAGGCCTGTGTTTAGCTGTTTTCTCTCAGTGCTGGATGGGTGTGCATGTATTTGTAGGCTGTGCTTGATATTCTCTGACTATGAAATCTCAGCAGTAGGTTGTGAAATATGTATGAAATTAAAATTTTGAATGCATAGAGGGCATAAAAGTATAGATGGCTGTGAGGCTCTGCTTTGCAGGACTATGATGTGCATTTCTAAATAGCTGGAAAAGCTCATCAGACATTGCAAGGACAAGGAGAAAAGAATCCTTAAATGGCTTTAAAATCTAAGCAAATCTTACTGCCTTCTTTTCTCACTAGTGGGTTTCCCCTTACTCTAGGCTGACAGCATTTTAAAAGGAAGAACTTCAAGTTCTCACTTTTAAGTTTGGCACCATTGTTTTCATGTTTACATGTTATTTAATTCTTCCCCTTGCAAGACTGGTGTGGGCAGGATGGATTCTGAGAAGGAAAAACCTGAAAGGCTTCAAGAAAAAAAGGGTGGGCCAGGTGTCCAGGAATAGTGGGTTTTGTTTTTTTGGTTTTTGGTTTGTTTTTTTTTTTTTGCAAATGCAAACCTCTAGCTGTGAGAATCAGATTTGGTTCAGCTTTTTGTTAATTTGAATGAAATCTGGTTTATGAAAATGGGGCATCTGTCATTGGTCTTGCCTTTCCTGCATTTTGATTTAGAGTAACAAGATCCGAACTGGGAGAGGCAAATGAAAAGAAAGTTTGGGCTGTGGAATTTCTTTGAGATGTATACTACATCGATATACCTCAGTTTCATATTTCTCAGTAAAAGAAAATAAAATAACAATGGGTAACTACTAAGATAGCAGTGAACTTGTCTGAAGACTGAATAATAAATCTCATAAGATGCACATGAAGGAGAGGGTCATGGTTGATAGTCCACTGTAATGTAATGTTTTTGTGCATGCTGTTTCTAATGCATTATTAACTGTTTTAGGTTTTTTTTTTTTTTGGGTTTGTTTTTTTTTGTTTTTTTTTTGTTTTTTTTGTTTTTTTTTTAATGATGAAACACTGTACTTTTCCCTACCCTGATCTTTATTCTGTAACAAATGAACAGGTGTCTGTATCTCATGGTTGTTACAAGGATATTTACCAAGGCCTTTCAGGGCTTTTAAGCCATATTAGAAGAAGGATATGCATTATATTTATAGCCACTTCATTATAGAAAATAAATATTCATTACAGAAAATAAATATTCATTCTTTAAAGCATGAAAGCACAGGTCTGCCCTCAGTTCTGTAAAGGCTGTGATGTGTTGCTTAGTCCAGTTGTCAGGCGCTGCTGTCAGATTGTTTAGTTGGGTATTCTATAAGGGAAAGAAAATTATTCAACCACCAACACAATCCTGTTTCCATTAGAAGTTGTAATGTTCTTTATCTGTATTGAATTTCATTGAGGGTTACATGCAACTTTTTGTAACAGGTCAAACTTAGGAAAAAAACCTAAAAGGCTTCACTGGAAGTTAAAGAAGAAAAGTGTCTAATTTTATTCTCATTAAAAGCATTCAGTTTGACTCCTAAATGTGACCAGAACAAATGTTTTGAGATAGATGTGTATGAAAAGTACTTTTTGTAGGAAAACAAGCTTTAATGTTGTGTGCCTTTTCTTACAGGAAATTAAAATGCATGACTGACAGTGAAACTGTGGCACCTGACTGGCCTTACTACAAAACCATTGACAGGATCTTATCCAAAGTGACAGACCACAGCGATGTGAAAATGCATGAAAATCAGCAGCCAGGTCCTTCTACATCTCAGACAGAGGCCTCGCAGTCTCCATCGGCCAAGTCTACACCTCTGTACTTGCCATACAACCAGTTTACATATGAAGGAAGGGAAGAATGCTTTGAAGATGAACATTCAGAGAGCTCATCAAGCTTGCTTTCTTACAAGCTGAGGTAGCATCTATTTTCCCCTCTTTTTAGGATTCTGCAGAATGAACCGAATTTGCTGTGTAAAGGGAACACCCTCGCACATTTTTCTCTAACAGCTCTTGTATTTTTTCTGTAAATCACAAACGAGATCTGTTCCCCAATCTCAGTCACTTTGCTGAATTAGGGCATTTTCTTTATTCCTTTATGAAAGACTGGGAGGGAGTAGGAGAACTGGGCAAAAAGTTGTATATTATTGCCAAAACTCAGCATGCATGTCACGGCTCACATCAGGGAGAGTGTTCATAAAAGGAGTACAGGCATGTTCAAGAGAGTCCTGCGGTGCAATCAGAGATATAACATACTGCTTAGATGATTTTTGGCTTGCTCTAGTTCTGCTTTTGATATGACTATGAAATTTCTCTGGCTTCAGTTATTATTAAAATGGTGAAAAGATGCAAAATAAATATTTCTGTGGACACTGAAAAGCTGCTCATGCAGTTTGAAAGTACATTGCATCATTTTAAATACAATTGAGAATGTAATTTTTTTCAAAGTAAATGCTAGTTTGAGATGCAAACATGTGATTCTTTTTTTTTTTTTTTTTTTTTTGGATATGATTGGAGTTCCCTGGAAGGCAGCATTTTAACAAAAGGCAGGGTTGTACTCTTGATATAAATTTCAGACTTTACTGGTCTCATTTTTCATCCAGAGTGGTGTGAAATAAGAGCTGATTACAGTTTTCTGGCAGAAAAAAAGTTGATCCTAGAGATCCTTATCATGACTCTGTGAGGCTTTAACTGTAACAGTAAAATTACCTGTCAGTCATGCAACTGTAAAGATGATGAGCTGGAAGAAGAACCAACAGAGCAAATTCGAGTTATTGATTCCAGACCCACTCTTGGATGAATAAAACTAAGTTAAATTCATTCAATCATTCAAGCATATAGTTATTGAATAACTGATTAATTTTAAAAACTTTTTATTTTTTTTGGCAACGAATATTTCCTAGGGTGTATAACTTTTGAACTTTAGCAACCTTTTTGTTCACAAGCAACAATTTTCTTATCCTAGTCCATTGTAAGTAGTTGATGTTCCTGATACACAAACTTGCTTGACTTTAGGATTTGCAAACTCCACAGTCACATTTCAGATGCAATAACTTTATTCCCAGTTGGATTTACCATAACATTATTTAATATTTAATTAGAAGGTCACATTTCCACAAACATTGTGGAGTTTATTCACTCGACTACTTGGTAACATCAGGCTTTTTAAAAATATTGGATGTTAAGTTTTTTTCAGTTTAGGGACAACTCCAGGACAACACAGATTTTGTACCATAAGAGAGGACAGAGGTTGCCACTCCAGGCTGCACTACAGAACATAGACATTCCTCACAGAGATCAAGTTAATCAACCCCAAACCCAATTCTGTTGTGCCCACAGTTTGCAGGTGGACTCTCATGTAGATGTTTCATTTACAGCTAAAATGGAAGCCACTAAAATCAGTCACTAAATTATAAGCTCTGGAAAATTTAGGCTATGATGCATTTTAGCCAGCATCAGGTTCACTGGTTTATTTATTTGTAACTTTATCCAAGGAAATACCCGTACCTGTTCTAGTAAAAAGTATTTTAACTTTACTTGGCTAAATTTAGAAATTACATCTCATTTAAATCTAGCCCCTGGTGGCACAGGCTGGCTTTCAGCTGGCTGCAAGTCTGGGCAGGCAGTGCCACTCAGCCCCTGCAATGCTGCTGTGCCTGCTAGGAGTGGCTGTACTGGATGGCTCAGGAGGGTCTGGGAGCTGCAGGGAAGGGCAGGGCAGCTCTCAGGATGGCAGGACCTCCATAACTTTTAGAAATTCAGCCATGGTCTCACAGTCTCCACTATGAAAGAATTTTGTGCAGTAGAATATTGTGTACATCACTTAACAGCAAGGTAGTTACACAGTGAGAAGTTAAAATACAGTTCCCCTGTTTTAAAAGAAAAGGAGAAGCTGAGCAGTAGGTGCCACATGAGAGATCAGTGTAATATTCCAGGGGAGCATCGTGATTGGATTAAACATTAGAAACCACTTGTGATAATGGGGCATGTGTCTGGAAGGAGAAAAAGTGTTATTCCAATAGTCCTAGGGGGTTTGAAAAGCTTGTCCAGCTTTGACCTGTTTAATTTAGGCAGATGAATGAGAGCTGAGTAGGGAACCCTTTGTTGGCCAGAAGAAAATACATTGCTTGCTAGTGATACCACATGGGTTAAAATCACTTAGAGCTGCCATGTTAGACAAGGAAGTTAATTATTTTACTAATGGAAAATTATGAACTGAGGAAGCAATTTATAGCTTAAGCAATTAGTGTCTCATCCTGTATTTGAAAAACACTTTGAAATAGCCAACAAGAGAGAAAAGAAGTAGCATAAAAAATTTGGGTCTATCTTGGCTATTTTATCAATGCCTTTGCCTCTGAACAGCAGACAATTGATCCAACAGATTCAAAAAAAGAACAAAAGACAATTCTGGGAATTGAAATCAAAAGAATGTTTTAGGTCCTGAATTTCCCTATTTTGAAAAACACACACTCATGTCTATATGAAAATACAGATGTGTTTTGCAGCTGTATATTTTACAACTTACATTACAGGGTTTTTTCTTCAGTAATAAAAATTGTAATGTTATGGCAACAATTGATAGGGAAAAAAACTTTCAAACAGTAGTTCTCTCTAAATAAGTTTTAAACTTCTGAAAACTTTTCTGTTATTCCTTTAAACTCTCCAACACAGCTTTAGAATGTCAGCTTTGTGTTTTTCACAGTATCTTTGAACATAGCAGGAGTCTACTTGGCTATATAAATTATAGCTTTAAAAAAATTCAATTGAATGTTTAGCTTTCATGATAGCAAAAAATGTCAAGTTTTGTACTTCAATCAGTACATATATATTGTCAAGCTAAAAATAGTTGAAACTGGTTTTCTTTGCATTCTGTTTGAAAAACTTTGAGTTCAGGACCTTCTTACAAAACCTAAATTTTGCTGGTTAGTGATAATACAATTAATGTGAGATAAAATTAACTTGAATTTTTGTTTCAAGTGTGTAGATGAGGGAAACATTTGGAATCCCTTTAAAGGGGTGCATGTAATTGCATACACTTCTCTGACACTGTTATACAGTACAAAACATCTGACAATAATAGAATTATTCTATTATGGTCATAAAATATAATGCAATGTGGTGGAGTCTTGTACTGCAGCTTAAACTTTTAAAATCCAAATGCCTGACACCACTATAAATGACTTTTTATCTAATTGAAAACAGTGGTTTTTCACCCTGTGGATTAATTTATGGTCTTTGTTTTTATAGTAAAATAATGACAGAACATATTTATACAGGCTGTGAATGCAGTTCAGCCTTCATGTGTTCTGCTATTTCTATTGTACTGAAAATGGGGGTGAAAGAGTTACTTTCATAGATTAAAAGACAATAATAAAACCACTGTGCTCTTTAGTCTGACTTCTTGTTAGATACCACTTGAATTTGGTCATTTTTTATGTGAAGCCCAGAAATATTATGGAGAGGGTTCTTCCCTCAGCAGGGCACTTCTGCACTCAGGAGCCCCCTGTCTCTGCTGTCCTCCACCTCTTTGTTTCTATGATTTGTTTCACTCTGGGAAATACCAAATGTCTGGTCTAGTCCTGAGAAATACAGAAGATGGAGAATTCACTCTTCCTTTCTTTCTAGTGATAAGGAAACCCTTGTTTAAACCAGTCCCTTGTTTCTAATGTGAATTTAGTGAATGAAACTTTCAGATGTTACTTCTGCTTACCTTTCTTTTCAGTATATTGGAGAACCTTTCAATATTTTTTTCTTTCTGGCAAGGTGGTTGTGTGCCATGATTGTACTGTCTGGTATTTTTTAATTTTTAAATGTAGATTTTAGAATTAATTTGCTACAGAAAGTTTACACAGGAAGAAAAAGTAAGACTTGGTAACATTAACTAGCCAAGATATGGATTAAAAGAAGTGCATTAAAACTTGGTGATGATACTAATTTGGGAAACAACATATTTGGCAAAGACTTTACTATTTCTAAAATTATGCTATGGCTATTTAAATCTGAATGGGCATCATCTACAAAGAAGTTTGAGCTTTAGGCTATGTGCATTATGTAGTGCATCTTAACTCATTGTGCAGACTTGTTATCCTAGCAAGGTGCTTTGCCCAGGCTCCAAGCCATTTGTGGTTCTTTTCTGTGCTTTACTTCAAGGATGAGTCTCATTAATCCCTGAATGCATTTGAATGATTGAATGAGCCTAGTTTACCAGAAGATCCAGGTTGCCTCATCCTCAGTCCTTATGTTCTGAATATCTTTATATAATCTCTAATATTAATGTTGATTATATCCAGACCATTGTTAATTATTTTACAAAAGACATGGATTATGGAGGTCTACTCGGATTTATATGGAGCTAAAAAACCCAAACCAGTGAGAAACAAGTTTTAGGTGTTAAAAGCCATAAATTCTAAGAACTGATGGTACCTGAGACCTGTTTGCCATGAAGAAGTCAGAAATGAGGAATTGTTGTTAGGGTTTTGTGAAGGTAATACATTTTGATAAACAGAGAACTCTTTGTATTCAACTCCTGCTTCATTAATTATTCACACATGTCCCTGAAACAAGCTGTATTGGATAAGTGTAAGCAATCAATCAAGGAAATTTTAATTGAACAATGAATTAAATTGGTATTAGGCAGGCAGACAGCAAATGCATTTGAGACTTGCCTAATATGTTTCCTGATTGTATCTGGAGGTTTTGCTTTGTTCCCCCTCATGTCCATTACACAAAGTCATTTCTGCTCAGTCTCCTAGGTGAGATGGAACAATTTCTTTCCCTTGTTTTGCTTCCTTGGATTCCTGCCTGTCTGTTTTAGAGCATAGCAGGGAAATAGCTTTGTGAGGCTCTGTTTGGAATGTGGTCCCAGTGCCAGAGCCCTTCCACACTTGGTTCATGTGGTCAGAGGAATACCAATGCCAATCTCTTGTATACTCTGCCATAGGCACTGGAAGCCCAGCAGAAGAGTACCAGCAGATTGTATTTGAGGTCCTTACTTCTCTAGACCCTTCTTTCCTGAGATTTCCCTCAAAATCTACCTTCAGAGACCAGGCTTGGCAAAGAAGGAGGTGCTCCTTCAGCAGCTTGTGGATGCTGTCAGGATCTGCTGCATCCCTGTTGTCACAGAGGTGTTGGCTGCACAGGAACACACCATGGAGAACAGGCATCAGGAACTGGTTGATGCCACAGCCATCATCAGTAGATTCTTATTCTTGTGCCCATACACTGGCAAAGGAGATATGTTCCTAGCTGGAACTGTTTGAGGATACTGGTGCTGCTTGTGTTACCTGGTGCTGAACCCATATTCCTTCTTCTCTCTTGAGTTTGTTATAAAAAATTACTGACAGAGAGGGGTCTCTGACATGCTCCCCAAGACATCTAGAACTTCTCAAGAAAGATGGCTCAGAATCTGAGGAAACACTTCAGTATTCAAATAACTCATCACTGGATGGGCATCACTGGACATTTGACATTGTTTCATGTTGCAAGTGCTCTTTGCTTGTAAATGAGATTCTTTAGAGCCTTCTTTTGTAGGGCCCTTCTCAAGAGCTCCCTTTCAGCAGCAATTCTGCAAGAGGAGAGGATTTTATGTGCCAATTCCTTACTGTGAACTTGTGAGTGACCACAGAACCCTTTCAGTATCAGTCAGTGGAGAGAAAAGGAGATTGGGACCATCACCAAAGCTTGGGCTTTCTGAAAATTTCTGAAATAAGTATTTCTTTTCAATAAAGGCTAATTATAAAGTTGTGTTTGTTACTGTAAACAAACGTAGGGAGTACTTGGGAGACCTTGAAGAGTCCTTGGGTCATTGCTTTTGGGAGCACTTCTCTGTGCTAAAACACAGTTCTGAGCTAGCACTCTTCAGTGAGTATTTTTTAGTTATTAGCAGACTTCAGATACTGCTGACACAGTAAAAATTTGCTGCTCCTTTCTCTCTGGAGCTGTGCAAGGCACTTACTGTCTTGGAAGTATGGTTTCATGTCTTACAGTTCTTTGATGGATTTAACTGAAAAACGGGTAAAACCCTTTACAGACTCTGGGAAAACACTTCAAAGATTCTTTTCTCTTAAAAATAAGGCTTATTTTAGATCTTTCAATCTAAATCACTTCATCTTGTTTTTTTATGTTTTTTTTTTTTATGTTTTGGGTTTTTTTTTGTTGTTGCTGTTCTTGTCTCAGTGTAAATTGAAATCCAAATGGTGGCTACTGTTACCAAGAAAGACACACAATGCTCAGTGCATCTCAGTACCATTGACAAGCCTCAGATTTTCTCTCTCATTCCTTGTTAAGGACCATTCTCACCAGTGCTTATGTTGGCAACACACAAGCCCTCTTGTGGAGTGAGCTCGTACTGGTTTCAAGACAAGAGGTTTTACCACAGCTATTTTCTAGCACTGTATGGTGAAGAGAACAGAGATTCATCAAGTTTCCAACATTTAAATCCTCTGTGAAGACAAGTTTAAATTCAAAAGATAATTTTGGCTAAAATTATATCACCACTTCAGAAAGTTTCTTGCTCTGCCTATCAGAAAGCAAGCATTCTTTGTGAATGTGACTGCAGTGATGGGAACCTTGGAATAACAGATTCAGTGCTGTCCTTAGACAACAGATCTGCTGTAGATCTTTTCCACCTGCTTGACCTCTTTGAGAACCACATTTGAAGTAATTCTGGCCCTTAGAGTTAAGGGAGACAAACAGAATTTAGTGTTATCCAAGACCCATTCTCAAAGGATTGTGAGACTGATAATTTCAGTGACCTGCAGCAAGCTTGACCCACAGTTTGAGCAGAGCAGCAGGTATTTATTTTATTCACATATATGATGCCCCAAATCAAATATGCTATATAGAACCAGCAAAGCTGAATTTATTGTATACCTTCCAAAGCAGATAGTATCTCACCCTTTTTGGGTCACTGCACTCTTAAATGTCAAAGGGCTTGTGTCTTTTTCTTATATTTGCATTAAGCCTTTCAGGTGCTGAGGATTGTTTATCTCTCCTGCTGACAGATCTGAATGTCACAGTGGCTGCTGCACAAAGCCTGTCAAGTAGGATAAGAACATGAATCAAATTATGATACAAATCTGTCACAGCTGAGTGACCTCACCCCCACTACCCTTCTTCACATTAATAAAAACACATTTCTCAAGAGTTCAAGTTATCCTTATTCAAGGATGTCTTAAAATCTGCAGCATGTTGACATGGCATTCTAGTCACAACTGTACTATCTCATTATTGCTTTTCACCTAGAAAGGATACTGCATTTGGCAGAACATGACTGAGATTGCTGTTTGTGTCAAGGGACTTCCAAGACACATCATCAGATATCTTTGATGTTGGGGACTCCAGTCTGGAGTTACAAAAAGTGTAAATGAAGACATGGTCTTTCACTTAAAGTTAGGAAAGGAATTATCCAGTTCTAACTGGAGGTTCCTCAGATGTGTACACTTACACATATGCCCTTTTTCCTCTTTCAGTTTAGCATGGTTCCTTCTTAGGCTGCAGGTTAAGAGACACAGATCTGTGGGTGTGCTCTCACTTGTATGCCCCATGGGCTGCTTTTGACTGCGTGGCTCTGTCACCCCAAGTTAGAACAGCCATGTGACCTTTACACCTTGAGAGCACTGTTTTTATTGCCATGTTTATCTCTCTTCCAAAACAGAAACCCAGCATGATAAAGCATAGAGGAAATTCTTAAAATGTTCCCCAAACTCCACATGGCAGCTCTGCATATTTCACACGAGGATGTCCATTGCCCTTCTCTGGACACACTCCAGCCCCTCAATGTTTTTCTTGTCGTGAGAGGCCCAAAAATGGGCACAGGACTGGAGGTGTGGCCTCACCAGTGCTGAGTACAGGGTGACAGTCACTGCCCTGGCCCTGCTGGCCACACCACTGTTGATCAAGGCCAGGTGCCATTGGCCACCTGGGCACGCCTGGCTCATGGTCAGCCACTGTCAACCAGAACCCCCAGGTATTTTTCTGTCTTTTCAGACTTTTATGTTTATAATGTTTTGTGGTGGAATATAAGAAAAAGAGTGGTCAGTGCCACTGCTGTGTCTTGGCACAAGGGCAAATTCTGAGACTCATATTCTGGAGTGGGACCGGCCTTACTGATGCAATGCTGCAAGATACTACCACATGTAACCCTGCAGCACTTTCTCTGGATTGGGATGGTTATAGCAGCTTTAAAATTGGAGTTTCAATGGCCACATAAGCCAAATGTCTCTCCCAGTACAGTGTATAAATTCAATGTGTAAGACATGTCAAGATTAAAAAAAAAAAAAAAGCTTGGTATTCTCAAGGGAAATTTCTTATTAAAAACATTGAGATGTAAAATCTCTTTTTTTTTCTTTTTCTTTTCTTTTTTACAATCTGCAACATTATTCAATAATGTATTAAATACTTATGTTTTGGCACAAACTTGAGAGGGAATTTATTGGATAACCCAGGGATTTAAAAATATGACTAGGCAGTAGCTTGGCCAAGAATATGCTATTGAATTTTGGGTTCTTTCTTTTTATAAATATGACTCTAATTCCTAACAAATATTCACATTTCAGAGCTGAAGAAAGACCAGTTAAGAAAAGAAAAATGCAAAACTGCAGTTTCCAAAAGAAGAAGCTAAAATTAATGGAGGCCATGTTGGAAGAACAAAAGAAGTTGAGTAGAGCTATGGAAGAAACCTGTAGAGAAGTGCGCAGGATCCTGGATCAGCAGAACATCATTCAAGTTCAAAGCTTACAGTTACAGGAGAGAATGATGAATCTACTGGAGAAAATGATCTCCAAGTCTAATGTGTAGTTTCCTTTGTGAATGCCTCTGAGTTTACTATTGCTATTATAGATAACCATTTATTGCACACCATATGTGTGTCTGTTGCCCTATTCCCAGGTTTTCCATGGAAATTAAAACCCTAGTGTAATCCTAGTTCAGAAAAGAAAACATAATGCAGGGTGAGAGCTATCCAGTATGATAAAATTAGTGCAATATATGCCTAAGTTGAATTATTTTTATACAGAAAGGTTAAGGGATAAATAGCTCGGGGAACTGAAGTACTATTTATGCCTAAGTCAGGTATTGTTTTGCAAACAGTGGTGCTGTATATTGCTTCACATCAAGGACTGCAGCTTAATCTGTTTTAGGAGAGTGAAATAGTGCATTTCTAAACATGGTTATTGCACCTTGACTTTGCTGATGATTAAACCCTGTTGTGAAACATATGCCTGATCGTAAAAGTGACCTATGGTTCTTGTGAAGAGCTAGTTGGGACCATGAGATACATAATTTTAAACTCCATGCCTGATATGAATAGTACTCTAAAGTATGAGGGTAAAAATAGTCTATTCAAATACATTTTTGATATAAAAACAAACGCCCCAAACCACCTTCCTATATACTGAATACTAAAATGTATAGAAGATACTTGAAGTTGCTTTTGATATTAAACGTTTAATTTTTTTTCATTATTAACTGGAATCTGTTGACTTAACAAACAACCAGCAATGAAAACTTTCATTTATTCTCTATCACAAAAGAAAAGTATTGTACTGTGTGTATATACATATATATATAATGTCTATCAAATGAAATAAAGAAAAAGAAGAAACTTACTGCTTATTGCTGGGCAGATAGTGTGCCTTGGGGCAGCAAAGGGTACTGGGAATGATAAGCACAGCAAGAGGTTCACAGTCACTGATGGCAGGGTGAAGAATAATGTCTATCAAATGAAATAAAGAAAAAGAAGAAACTTACTGCTTATTGCTGGACAGATATGCTTGGGGCCAGCAAAGGGAATGATAAGCACGGTGAGAGGTTCACAGTCACTGATGGCAGGGTGAAGAGCCGCGGTGCTGATGCCCAGATGGACAGGGATGCACCACACGAGGGAGCCGCAGGCACGGAGGATGGTACCCAGGGGGCTGAGATGCAGCACCAGCTCGGGATGGCTCCTCCATGAAACGTGACATTAAAATAATCTTTCACTTAAATTCGAAAATTGCCGGCACAATTTCCTATATGCCTTTTCCTTTTGTATTCTCCTTAAAAAACCCGTATTTCTGCCTGTTTTACTGCAAGAGCAAAGGTTGGATTCCAATATAGAAACGAAAGAATTAGTACAAGGAACTCAGGCCATTTTACATTTTCACTGTTGAATAATGTCCCCTCTTAAAACTTTGTCTTTGAAGGTGTTTGCATTCTCCTATATAATTTAATGTGTTGTTGCCTAAAGGTGAGCTAAAATATTTTAAATCCCTGACACAACAAATTAATCTCTAATTATGCTTGCTGAACAGGATGAAGGTTATACTCACCAAGCAAATTAATAATATGTGGAAATATTTCTTAGAAGGACCTCCAGGTATGAAGATTAAAAGTTATTAAATATCTAAATGTGGCCCATTCCTACTGATTTTAATTAATGATAACAGGATACAGCAAATGTAGTAGAAGACTGAACTTGGAGAAAATGGTGGCTGCTGAAATATAAACAAAGGACCTGTCCCTCACCCCACCTTTACTACAGCGATTGCATGATTGGAAAAATGCCAAGTTTCTTTTCTGATTCTACATTTCAAATGTAGATCTGTCATGCATTCAGGTAGGCCACATGTTCAGTGCCTCCTGACACTTTAACTTGTTTACAGCAAGATATAAAGAAATTCTCCCCTGACTCCACAGGAATTAATGGTATTTACTCTTACTATCTACTTAAATCATATAGCAATTAAATCCAATTAATGAGCAGTAACAATGGCAGCACAGCTGAACCTTGTACTGCAGAGTAGGTATCCCCCCTCCTTCCCTGTTATTGCAGCTCCAGATCTGTAGGAACACAAGAATGGAGAAAATCTCATTCCTTGCCTGCTACCACAAGGAACCATGTCATACAATCCCTTTTGTAAATGTGTGAGTTAGGTGTTTTGTCCCCAGAATTGCATGAAGATCTGCATTACAGACAGGTAAATGCAGTTTATAAAATTGCTTCTAGGATTGTTCTTGATTAATTTATATCAATTTTTTTTCTCGTATCAATGCTGATTTTGTTGCTTTATATAGCATTTACTTTTGAGAGCTAGAGGTCATGCCCCATGCAACCCTTCTTCTGATGGATAATACTCTTTTATAAGGTAGAATTTTGATGACTGTTTTGCTAAGTTTGCTCTTTTGAGTTCATCCATTTAAAAAATGAGTGCTACAGCATTCTACATGAGACTCCAAACGTTATCTTACATAACTGCTTTAAAGGACATGGTATTTTCTGGTGTTTCTGAGATTTTTTTTTCCATATAAAACATCACTTCTAGTAGTTATATTTAGAAGTTTAAGTTTTAAATCATCATCTCTTTAACAAAAGGTTTTCTTCCCACCCTGCAGATTACCTGTGTTCTAGCCCTGTTTTTGCCTAGAGAGTGAATACAGCAAAGCTTTAGACAAATATTACAAATTTTATGTATGACAGAACTTTTCTAATGCTTTTCGACAGGTTGAAAATTCCCCACCTACCCATAGTTTCCTTTTGCTGCTGTTTCTTTTGTTTCTGTAGAGATTGAAGGTTTACTTGAAAAAATAGTTTGAGTGTTTTTGAGGGGATTTATTTTTTTGTTTGAGGTAGTCACAGCCTCTTCCACTGTATGGGATAGTTAGCTGCAGGTACAGATATTTGAATGTTTGTGATAGTGAGACAAATTATAACTTGAAAGACCTGCCTAGAATTAAAATTCTTGGTAGAATTCCTGGTTTTGCAAAACAGAGACAGACACTGCTCTTGTGTCTGTATGAGTAGGGAGCTGAGTATAATAAGTATTCAAGGGGAGCACATGAGGAGTTACCCAAGTTTATAATTTTAACTATGACATTAAAGGAACTCCCTCCTTCTAAGTGTGATCAAAAAAGAAAATGTAGCATAGGATAACAAATTTCTTATTTTCAGGGCAGTAATGGGGTCAACTCAGTTTGATATCACTTTCACCAAGTGAAGTGCTTGTATTACACGTACACACACAGATGGTGCAAATGGAAAAAGTTAAATAGGGGAGGAAATACACTGCCTGGAGGCAGGTGACTTTGTAAGTGATGTGATAATAAAGGAAAAGGAACCTGAGGAGGCAGATGAGAAAATGAGACGTTGAGAAACATGCAAGCAATTGAGAAGCAGATTTTGATGAAAGATGGGAAAAAATATGTTGGACAAAAGGGCAATGTAAATGCTCAAAAAACCCCAGTAATGACTGGGATGAGGGAACACAACACTTTAGAAAGCGAAAATGAAAGAAAAAACATAAAGCTGAAGGAGAAAACTTTGAGTATGAAAAGCTAATGCTAGTGAAATTCTGTATATTTTGAATAGAGAGCCCCTAGAGGTAACTTAAACAAGTTACAAACAGCGTAAAGCAAGGAGTGACAGTTTTTTTCCACCAGAGAAAAATAAGGCTCTGAACAAACATTTGGAATCAAGGATATTTTTCACAGAGGAGAGAGGTTAAGTAATTTGTAGGAGGATGCTGTAATAATTAAGCAACATTTTCTCATGCCGGTATTAAAATTTGCTGGATAAAAATGTTGGTAAATTTTTTAAAATTTATTTTTACTTTTTGACTTCAAACTGGAGAAGCATTTTAAGACTTCAGTTTATTTCAGGCCCTGTCAAGTTGAACAGTTATCCACCAGACCAGGATATAAATTAATGGACGGGGAATGGCTTCTATCATATTCTCCATAAACTGCTCTGTCCTGCAAAGAAAAAAAAAAGCCAGGACAAAAAGATGTATGCAGGATTGTATTTATTTTTTTTTTTTTCACAGACAGCCTGCCCAAATTGGTGTAGGCAAATAGCTTACCACTCTGTAGATTTACCCCAAGTTGACAGCCTAGTTCTGTGAACAGTCTCCTGTTCTAAAGTCAATGGGACTACCCAAATCAATAAATATATTGAAATCTTTATGTATATGTTTGCAAGATCAGTTCCTATGCTGATAATGTAATGTGAAAGACAAATTTAAAAAAGAAATTTAGGAACATTTGGTGGTGTTATGTCAGCAAGTAAATACTAACCATCTGGTCTCTAGATTGCTAATCTATTTCCCCTGATTTTATGGTAGCATGCTTCCTGTGTCTGCAAGCTTGAGACTACATCATTAAACTTTTGTGTTGATCTTTTTTAGTGTTTTAACAGAAACATTTGAAATACTTTGCCATTTTGGGTGCGAAATTTTCTTCCTATGCATGTTTTTTCTAGCTGGAAATTTTTCATTCTGTTACAGCTTATTTTAAGGTATTTATTGAACCACATTTCTAATAAGGATGAATAATTTCAGGTATGTTCTTTAAAAAGCAGACCAGTCATCCACAGTGAATGACATCCAGTTATGTAGGGATGACTAATTACTACTGGTAATTAGATCTCAGTTTGATCCTAGTATCACATAGTACCAGGTTGAAGGGACCCTGTCCAGCCTTTCTTGGCTTTCTTTGCTGCAGCAGCAGCACCCTGGTCACTCATACTGAGCTTGTTGTCTACCAGGACCCTCAGGTCCCTCACCACCGGGCTGGTACCCAACCAGACAGATCCCCACCTGTGCTGCACTCCTGGACTGGATTTTCCCAGGTGCAGATTCTTGTCCTTGTGGAACTTGTGCACCAAGGAAAATATAGGTTGGATGTTAGGAAGAAGTTTTTCATGACAAGAGTCATAAAGTTCTGGAATGATCTGCCTGAGGAGGTGGTGGAGTCACCATCCCTGGATGTGTCTGAAAAAGACTGGATGTGGCACTTGGTGCCATGGCTTAGTTGAGGTGTTAGGGAATGGGCAGGACTTGATGATCTTCAAGGTCTCTTCCAACCTAGTCATTCTGTGAATTCTGTGAACTTCATAAAGTTCTTGGCAGTCCATTCTTCCAGGCTATCCAGGTCTTCCTGCAGGGTGGCTCTCCCTCCCAAAGTGTCCACTTTCCCCCTCAGCTTGGTATTATCAGCAAACTTCATCAGGATACACTTGATTCCATCCAGATCACTTATGAAGATATTAAATAGACATGGTCCCAATATCGATCCCTGGGGGACCCCACTTGTCACAGGCTGCCAGTTTGGAAAGGAGTTATTTCTTTACCCATACTCTGGCTGTGTCTGGCTAGCCAGTTCCCCATCCACTGCATGGACCAGTCCAGCTCCTAATGCAACCAGTACCTTAGGAGGAGTCTCTGGGAAAACACATTGAAAGCCTTGGGGACAATGTCCATTGCTCACCCCACATCAGCTGAGCAGGGCATGGTGTTGTCAGAAGGTGATCAGGTTTGTCAAGCATGACTTGCCTTTGGTGAATCCCTGCTGGCTTTTCTCAATCATGTGCTTCATTTACATTGTGAGAGCCCCCAGGAGAATTTGTTCCCCAACTTTCCCAGGGAATGGTGTAAAACTGACAGGCCTGTAATTTCCTGGATCCTCCTTTAAGCCCTTCTTGTAGATGGGCTGCCATTAGCCTTCTTCCAGTCTTCTAGGACGTCCCCTGATATCCACAACTTCTCCAAGATTATGGAGAGCATCCTTGGAATGACATCAAACAGCTCTGTTAAAACCCTTGGATGTGTGACATTAGGACCCATCAACTTGTAGG